AACACGTAATTCACGTATAAAGATTTAACAAAACTTGTAAATGTATTTAATCACCTAATTTTAACATGCTGTCAAGTACTACTCATCAAACTAATGTTTCACGTGCAGAGAATGTTCGCGATATTTAACTTTTTTGTTTTTGTGCAGACATTTTCCGCCGTGAATGTGGCTTCCGAATGTTCATTACGTGTAGATCTCATGCATAGTAATTACAAGGGCTCCAAGGTTTTAGCTAAAAGCTTTGTGCGTCACGATTGATAAATACCCTAATAGTGATGTCGCATGTCAAATGACTAATTTGCTCTCAAAACGTGTGGATGTTTCTCTGCTTCTTTTAATGGCCGGGCCAGGGTACAGATGATGATGCGTGGCTGGGAATCTCACGGCAGAACTCCATAAAATTATAATTGTGATTCTCAATCAGGTGTGGACTCTGCCTTTTGTTTGTTTAAACACACCCTCCAGTTCTAGATTTGAAGCTTTCGTGACTGCAAGGATTCATACTCTTTAGTTTTTTTGGTAAAGTCGGTAAAGTGCTTGGTTCATGTACTGGCCTCCAAACCCGGTGACCCGAGTTCGATCCCCGCTCACAACCAATGACAGTGACGAATATTTGAAATGGTCCTGTAGTCTCCCTGGGTCAAATAGGCCTTAAATGAGTAGCTGGTGCAGTGTGTAAATATTGGCACTGGGGAGACAAAGGCGGCCGGGCGTGGTGTTGGCCGTCTACACCCTTTGTATGGCGTGCCCGCCTTCATAGATGCTCGCGAACAGCACTTGCCACAAGTCTGTTAACGCTTACGCAGGGGATCTTTGTCTTTATACTGACATCTTAAAACACTTATGCTTGCTTGTCATTTACGGTATTATTATTATTATTGAATGTACAGTAAATGTGTTATGATATGCAGCCTTGTTTTTTTTAATACTAAAAACACAATTACATTGTAAAGAATATCATTCGCCTCATGCTAATGTCTTCGACTTTTCCACAATAGACTTCTGATATTTAGCTTTTTTTGCAAGTATTTCACAACATGGTAGCGTTTAAAAAAAATAAACACTATAGTTGATCTGTTAAGTGCAAACAATTACCTGGTACAAGTGTTGCGTTTTTATAACTGTTGGCAGCGAACAACGTTCCTCGTTATGTTATTTTACAACCTCCGAGGCTTTCTGCGGGGGATCAGTTTTAATCAGCAACAAGCATTTACAAGAAGAAATTCCTTCCGGATAAGAGCTCCACAATTTCTTGGCACCGATATAATTTCCGAGTGGTTTTGGCATAATTTGCAATTGATGCTAAAAGCGATCAAACTACCAAACCATTTAATTCTAGATTTGAAGCTTTCGTGACTGCAAGGATTCATATTCTTAGGTTTTTTCGGTAAAGTCACGTAGGTAAAAAATTATTTTATTTTACTTTTATTAATTTTAATTTACCTACGTGACTTTACCGAAAAAACCTAAAAATACCAAACCATTTCTCTGTCATTTGGCAAAAAAAGGCCCCATCACGAATGGCCAGAGAGGTGAGCTTTGGTGAACCAATCCCAATGCAGGTCTGCATCCAATACTTCTCTGTATTCACATTGGATAATGCCCAGGGATGAACAAGTCTAAACGTATTCCCATGTGCAGCCAGTGCTGTGTCTGACCAACTGACACGTATTAATTACCTTGCTACACAACGCTGTTCTCAAATTATAGTTATTGACATTAATTCCGGTGCTTAATGCCTTAATTCCAGAATTAATTATTGGGTGGCTTATTGCAAAACACTAGAGCCACTGGCTTCAGCACTCCTCAACACAGCTCCGATGAAAATTGCATCGCGCGCTCATTTTCGAAAGACGTTGCATGATGGGCGGTGTGTTGTAAAAGTCTCACCACACTCTCCATCTCATATAGATGACCGGACCACTCACGTGAAATTTGTAATATAGCTAGGGTATGAAATATAAGCGAATGTATTTGGTTTGGATTTTTTTTTATGCAAAAGCAATAGGTGGTCTGCATTGCCAGATGATCCTTCAGGAATGCCCAAAGTCTTTTTTTTTCCTGCGATTGCAGCCTCTTAGGCTGCTTATCAGGTTGCCATCCCTATAAATTACATCACCGCCGTGGCTTTCCATTACTTTTCTTTGCAATTTGTCAAAACTCGCTGAAAAAAGCTTTAATTTACTGAACTCATTGAGCTGAAGACTTGACCAATTTGCCTTCGTATATATATTTTTTACATATCCTAGCACAATCCCTGCATGAACAAAGACAATTCACTTATTCTAAAACTGGGCCAGGAAAACTCAATCTATGGATGATGAACAATGTATTTCATAGCGACGTGTAAATGAGCCCCTGCTCTGTGCTACTTTTATTCCCTTCACTGCTCTCAGTGGGGGAAAGTTATAGATGAAAGGTTTTCTCATGCTCTGGTTGACTTATAGCTAAAAGTGCTGTGCATCATAAAAAAAGTATTTTACCCTAGAGCCCCAAAGGCCATAATTAGAATACTATGACAAACCAGCCATGAACTACTGTACATCACTGGCTGAGAATTTAATGTTCGAGCTCATATAAGTACAGTTCAATCAAAGTGGAAAGTAGGGCTGGCATTTAATTTGGAACCGATGATATCAGTAATTCTATTTATGATATTAAAAATACAATTTTATACATTATCTCATCTGGCCTGCGCATCAACCAATCCAATGCTATCTACTGTACCATATCTTATCGCGGTTAATCCTTTCGCTGCTCCGCCGTATACATTTTCGCTTGTAATATTATTATTATATCTGGCTGCATGAAGGAAAAAAAGAGACAAATCAATCTGCAAGGTCACTTTGCATGGGGATCAAAGTGGCAGACTTGAGCAAGGCGACTTCAGCTGCCAAGTTGAGACTTTAGAATAGAGAGCGAGCAAAAGGCAAAGAGCCTTGCCTTGCCATCATATGGATGTCCTTCTCGTGTCTGGCTGAGTGTGGGTGCCAAAAAAAGGGTTAATGTGTCTCCGTGCATTCAAGGAGGCTCAACAGATTGCCCTAAGCATTCACTTCCAGCTATGCCTGATATCAAGCAGGGAATGTGGTTGTGGCAAATAATTGAACAGTTTGGAAAGGAATACTTCAACCTTTCAGAAAAAAATTCTAGGTCAGTGATTTAATTTTGTACCTATATATACCCCCACACACGTAGTAGATATACCGCGTGTTTTGTATTAAATGCAATCCTATAAAATGTCACTTGCAGTATAATATGTCCACAGAATATATCACCATTGGTGATGTGACTGCAATTTTATCATGTATTGCCGTGATTGGTAAAGGAAGAGACTCTCGAAAATAGATGCATGTTATAGGCACGTATAGCTTTATAAAGGCTCTTGTGTGCAAGAAATGACAATTTCTGGTGATTTATTTTGCCCATATATCACTTGAATTAGTCACACAAGGGCTGGTGAAAATATATTGAGAACCGAATAATTCCAGTTTACACACAATCACTTCTTATTTTTGAACGCGCTAACTATTTGGAAATGAGAACTTTAAAGGGATACGTAAACCACGTGACCACAGCGTGATCCTAATTCGACGTTTTAACGTCTGCAGCATCTTGTTCTTAAAAGTTTTGTGACCGCTTTTTATCCACATTAATTCCTCGCGCACATGAAGGCACAAGTGAAGAGGCCTGTGGAAAGGATCGAAGCAGATGTCCTCAAACACACGGCTCTCAGGATGCATAAAGTTGAGTGCCCTGCAAAATACGCTCGCGAGGAAGCACACTGCTGGATGTAAACATGAAAGAAAAAATAAACACGCGCAAAAAGAACATTCTTCATCCAACAACAAAAAAAGGATTTGCATTCTCCCGTAGTTTCACAGTCGGGTGGCGATGGTGCCATGTGTATTGCCGATTGAGTGATGTGCGTGTCTTTTTTTAGAATTTGCCAAATGAGGATTATAATGCCAGCGCACAACGGCCCAGTCACATGGAATGACATCAGTCGATCTTAAATGTCCACTGTGAACAAACAGCCAACGCGCTTGAACTGGATGTGTTCACAGACTAGGCAGTCCTGGGTGGGGCAAGGAAATAATTCTCAGTGGCAATATTTTCAAATTTATTTGATTATCCATAATACAGGGGTATTTTTGGGTTAGATCACGTAAATTTAAATGTGTCGTTAAACCCGCCACCACCTGACACAGCCAATTAGTAAGGTTTGTCACGTAAACAGAACGTGCCAATTCGTCACTAGTACAGCAAACCGGTGTGTTGGAGAGCAAATCCACAACATTTACAATCTGAGTACGACGTTTCGTCAGTAATTACAACCGGTATCATCAGGCAGCAGCCAAATTTGTTCATATCATTAAATCGATATGTCCACTTTTTGGTACAACATGTGACGATGGTAGCAGCAAAAATGTAACTTGCTTCACAGCTCACAAGTGACATAAGCATCACAACAGGTAGTGACCTAACTCCTAGTCCTCCTCTGCCAATATTGGGTTGTTTCCAACAATTTTGATGCGTGCCATATTCACAGCGGAAGTTCTTCTCACGGATAATGAAACCTCCTCTCTGCCACAAGTGGTGATGATACATCGGCAAAATGTATAAAAGAAATGGGATTTCGACTGCGCAAGTTTTGGCAGTAGTCCCGAATGGCTCTCTGATGTGTTTTCCGAGCATACTGCATGTGGCTTGGCGCGAGGTTCAACATTGCACTCGATGTGCTGGGAGCTCTCGGCAGGTTAAGCGAACTGTCAGACATCATCATCATCATCGCTTCTCATGCTGGGAAATTTCTTCAGGAACTTCTTTAGCATCGAAAGCTCCCAGCACGGAGAGCAAAAACTTCGGGCGTTAACGCCGAAAACCCAGCACAACCCAAAAAAACCCACACCGGATAGAGCGAAATTGAATTTATAAAAAAAAGTTTTTTTTTTAAATCAAAAAAAGAGTTCAAAAGAGAGGCAGCAAAAGGTCCGCACCTGCTGTCGAGAGGGATGCTCACGAGCTCCCAGCTCTCCCGCAGGTGCAGAGGCTCGGGCGCTCGGAAGGGCTGCACGGACACCTGCCGGGATCCGCGTCGCTCGCGCAGGGAGCTGCGTGCGCCAAGCGAGTTGTGGTGCGTGGGGGCAACGGAGGAGGCTTGCTGCTGCTGCTGCTCCAGCTGCCCCGACGCGCGACGGCCGTGCTGCTGCTGCTGTTGCTGCTGCTGGAGCCCCGGCGCCTTGTGGTGCTTGCTGGTGGCGGCGTGGGGCGCGTGCAAGGACTGCTGGGGGCTGGAGGTGTGCGGCAGGTGCTGGCTGGGCGCGTGGACGAGCTTGTGTTGAGCGCGCTCGTTGGGGTGCGGTGGCAGCGGCGGACGCATCGTGGACGGCTGCTGGTGGCTGGATGGAGTCAACGGGTCTGAGAAGCGACAGGAGCAAGGGGATGGTGGGGACGGTTGTTTTCAAACGCGGGGCTCTTAATGTAACGGAGTTCATGTATATATATATTTTTAAAGCTCCCGCACGAAAGTATGTATTGAAAATTAGTGAGCTTCTAGATTTGAAGCTTTCGTGACTGCAAGGATTCATATTCTGAGGTTTTTTCGGTAAAGTCACGTAGGTAAAAAATTAAAATTAATAAAAGTAAAATAAAATATAAATAAAATAAAAATCACGACGTTTCGGAGGCAACACGAGCTTCCGTCTTCAGGTGGAACTTTTATTAATTTTAAGTTTATTTTTTTACATACGTGACTTTACCGAAAAAACCTAAGAATAAATTAGTGAGCTGACGCTAAAAGATTGTCAAAAATACTGTTTGTGTTCTACACCCAATACTTCGTGACAGCTCCAATCATAACTATAAAATTAGCCTTCACGACTCGCCAGCAAAGCGGCACGAAGAAAAAGTTCACATTATAGATGCTCATATAGAACTATACAAAGACAAGATCCCCCGTATAGACTTAATAGACTGTTGGGGCATGTGCTGTTTAAGGAGCACCTATGAAGGCCGACATGGCACATGAGGGGGTAGGTGGCCAACACCACGCCCGGCCGCCTTTGTCTCCCCAATGGCGATGTTTCTACACTGCGCCAGGTACTCATTTGAGGCTGAGTCGACCTAGGGGAGACCTATGACTGGTTCAGATAATCGTCTTGAACGGGAATAGAACTCGGGTTGCCAGGTTCGTAGCACAACACGCTAACTGCTATGCTACCGCTCCTCTCTAAGAACGCAACATACGTGACAGACAGCGATATAGTTTTATCGTGAGATACTTAAAAACTCACTTTAACTAAAGTGCTCTTGTTTTAACCTCATCTATACGTTTTACTTGAATGACAAAAACCCAGTTTCGTTTTAGGAGTTATTCAATTGAATAAAAAATGGTGTGTGCACCGTTTGTAACTGACTGTCCTATATACATACTGCACGTGTAGAGAGAGAGTCTCTTATTTGTATTCCGAATGTGATATCAGGACCACTTTAAACCTATAAATACGGAATCACAAAACAAACAAAATGCTTGGGCCTAGTGTTAGTCCACTGCCTAAGGCATACATTTATGAAAGTAAAATAGGCCTCACTTTAAAGGTGCTTGCCTCAAAGGCTGGTTTTCAAAACACTAAGACTACTTTGTAAATATGGACCAATTGATCTTCAGAGGAAAATTAAAATAGCAAAACATTTCAAATACCTTAAGTGTCACCAATCTATGTTTTGTGCGGCTATTATTTTTTGTTGAGAAATAATATAATTCAATTGCTGTCACAGAATTCCAAGCGCGTCTTTTAATTTCCCCGGGAGCCGAATTCATTAAATTGTTTTGTTTAAAATTCATAAACCAGCTGGAAGGATTCTCTGGAAGGCATGTATATAACTTCAAATACACAAACAAAAATCTAAATTCAGGCAGAAGTCACCACAAAATTTGAATATCCCATGCATATCATCGTTTTGTTTTAATGCTGCTGTATGTCCAATGTTTTATTTTTTACAAAATTAGACATTGTATACGTAGGCTTTGTTTTGGGTTAGATCGTTGTGCAGGTACAATGTTCACCACCCAACAGAGCCAATCAAAGCCAGTTGTCATCGGTGTAAATATGCCCATTGATTGTGGGGTTTTTCAGCAATACCGGAGGAATGTTGAAAAGCCAGCTGAATCTTAGACATTGTTGTCCTTTAAATGGAGATTACAGCCAGCATCATCAGGTGTGAAAAAAGCTCAACTGTCATGTGGGAGCTGAGAAATCAAATGAATTTGCCCATGTGACAACTTGATCTGATTTGTTCTGTAAGGTGGTGAAGGGGTTATCAAAAATAGATTACATTAGACCTACACAATTTAACCCAAAATAAACTAATTATGAATAAAAATTGCAAATATGCATTCCATATAAACCATGCTTGCACTCCTGTAATGAAAATACAGATAGACGTACCATTTCAGAAGCAATGGGGAAATTTACTATCAAATAACAAAGCAAATGGATCTCAGATTGACCAGCATTGACGTGACGATTGTGATTAATTGTCCATCAATGCTCATTACTGTTACTGAAAAATCCCTCTGCACATGCCCACAGAAGCAATTTTTATTAATCTTGTTTATAATTTATTACTCTGCCTGAGCCGTCGCGTACAGGAAGGATGCTTCACAACCTTCACCAATATTAGACTACCTGCCACTTGTCACTTGATAGAATATTTTCCTCCGCGCAGCAATTTACATGTTAAAATTTTTTTTTAAAGTAGGATCTTCACAACATGCACGTTTTTACTTCAAAATAGTCAACATAATTAAATAGATTCAATTGTATTCCTCGTCGGTAAACACTGTTTAGCATTTGCAAACTCAAATCGGTGCGTCGAGAAGGCAGGGCATCAATGCCTTCGCTGAGAACAAAGCTCCATTTTTAGCATCATATTTCTTTTAAAAATTGGCCTTTACCAAACAGTCATCCATCAACGCGACAGCGCTCGAGATCAGGTGCAGGTAGAGGTTAGATTAGGCTGCATAATGTGCGTAATACAAACGGGCCGCCGCACATTTATATCCAAAATGAACCACTTTGCGGAGTACACGGCAATAACACAAGTTAGAGATGGAAACTGAAATTGCTACTGATGGGGGGAGATTTTTTTTTTTTTCGCACACACTTTGTATCAATTAAATAAAAAAAAATTCACGCTTCTCATATCCTGCTCTTGACCAGAAACGTACATAGTCATATCAATATAAAATTGCATACAGCATCAACCACACTGGCTTGAACACCGCAAGCCAGCCCAGACACTGTGTGTGTGGCAGAGGTCGCAAACGGGTTTTGATTCCTTACCCGTACCCAGCCGGGTACGGGTACCCGTTCCCTACCCGTACCCTACCCGAAATGAGTGACAAACGGTTACTCACCAGTGACTCACGGCCTACCCGTACCCATACCCGGCCGCACCAGGGTCGCAAACGGGTACCCGTACCCGGCCGAGTACGGGTAGCCGGGTATAGGGTAGGGTACGGGTATCGGGTACCCGGTTGCGACCTCTGGTGTGTGGCAGATATGATAACTTCAGCTTGAAAGCCTATGCTTTTCTTGCCACCACAAAGAGTTTATTGCAACTCCTATTTAACTGCATGGACAATGCGCGTTACCTAAGTGTGGAATGCTGGACACTTTCTGCAAACCAATGAATAACAAGTAAACCCGTAAAAACAAAGTTTTTCACTATAAATCCTTTATATGCGTGGCGGCTAGAGTCCTCTCGTCCTCTGGCTTGAGATGGCTGCCACCTATGGGTCAGATGATTGCATGTCACCATTAAGCAATTGGTAAAATTTTATTTGTTTCCCCTAAACAGTGTAAAATTTTGGAATTTTTTTCACGAAAATTAATTGTCTCGCACAACGAGTCTGTGTGCAAAATGTCAGCTCGATTGGATCACGGGAAGTGGGTTAAAAAACGAGCGAAAGATTTGCACGGTCCTAAGCAAGCAAGCGAACTTAATAGAAAGGATTTAAAAAAAACAATGTGTGAGCTGATGACAAGCGTCGCATTCATACACTGCTCTTAGAGGTCGAATGCAACAACAATGTTAGCGAGGCTACAAGTGAAAGCAGAGCTGGAGAAGGAGTCAATTAAATATGAGTGATGGCCGCTAACACCCACACCTGACGGCTGAAATTGAAATCCATTTCTGATGAGACAAGATAATGCACCTTGGTGTCTTTGTAATAATAATAATACAAATAATAACCATAAATTATGTCTCTTTGTCGATCCACTGCTAGATGAAGGCCTCTCTAAGCTGTGTCGGGCAGGGGGGTTGTTTGATCATACTTCACCCTGCTGGTAAGTGTGGGTGGGTGAAAGGGGTGCCCAGGTCCATTTCAGATATCGCTTGCCAAATGTGGTTATCTGTGGCCAAGAGTCAAACTCAGGGTGCCGGGTTCACAAAGGAGTGCACTAACCACTGCTCGCTGCAATGCTTCCAGAGACCACAACTCAATTATGTGACCCGCATAAACGTTAGGTATTATTTTTAGGAAGGATAGTCAGCATAAGAATGTTTTTATCTTAATATATGCATTGTGTGAGCATGCACTGGGTTGATTAAACCTCGTAGAAATGTAGGGGATTTTCGATGTCCTTTTGCAAATAAAGTAATTAAAATTTAGTTTCCTTAAATATGAAGTATAAGGTAAATTCCTGTGATTAATGAAAAAAGAGACAAATAAAAAGTGGTACAATTGTTCAAAATGAGATACATATTTCATGTACGTACTATATATTCTGCACTAAAAAATAAAATGGCTGCGTATTGTGGAGGGAGTGTGTTCATATTACATAGCAATAAACAATTCAAGTTGGATGTATGTTAATACAGTATTCATACAACATCATTGCACACGCCTATTTCCATCTGAAGAAAATATGGACTTCAGTAAATTGTGATCTAAATAAATGTGAAAGTTTATTTTGCTAGTACAGACTCCTGGCAGATCAGCGCCATAGGCAAATGTGTGTAATGAAACCACTGAACCCCGTATCCCAAACAGAGTATAATTTTACAGATTTCTTGCCAAGCGTCAAATGGAAATAAAACATATGACAACAATAAGAGACTCAAAAGCTTTGGCTTGCTGGCCAAGCTTTTTTTAAACTGCGATGCTCTGTGCATGTATATATAAAAAAATGCTTAATTGAATATGGTTTCCAGACACAAAGAACAGACCATTATGGTCTCTTCAATACAACAGCAGGAGAGCAAGGCCCCGCATCTGTTTCCAAGCTACAAACAATATTACACATTCAGGTTCAGTCATCGATTTACAAACATCACTGAATGAAAAGTGATGGGTATTGGACAAAAGGCTTGCCGTCTTGTATTGCTGTAAAATTGTTTTTCCTTACAAA